AGAGGTTAAAGCGTTCGCTCGTCACGCCGAATACCCAGGTTCGATTCCCAACATGGGTACAATGTGTGAAGCCCATTTCTGGTGTCCCCTGCCGTGATATTGGTGGAATATTGCTAAAAGCAGTGTAAAACCATACTCACTCACTCACTCCTTATACCGGGTTAACGTGAATAATAATATAAAAAATCCAATAAACTGATGTAAAGTAAAGTAAAGCCTGGAAGTTGTCCTTGCGGTCGAACGACCAAGAAACAGACAAAAAATTCAGTGATAATTTTCAGCCCACAATACAATAATAATAAAAACATTTACACCATCCGGAATACGAGGGAATTTATATTAATTAATTGTTTTCTCACTTCTCTTTGTTATTGTTTTAACTAAAGATAGTCACGAATTTGGACTATATATAGCAAATGTGTTAACCTGAGCTGCAGTCCTTGTGGACTGTATACAGCCAGTGTTAACCTATAGTCCTTGTGGACTATATACAGCCAGTGTTAACCTGCAGTCCTTGTGGACTATATACAGCCAGTGTTAACCTGTGGTCCTTGTGGACTATATATAGCCAGTGTTAACCTGCAGTCCTTGTGGACTGTATACAGCCAGTGTTAACCTGTGGTCCTTGTGGACTATATATAGCCAGTGTTAACCTGTAGTCCTTGTGGACTATATATAGCCAGTGTTAACCTGTGGTCCTTGTGGATTGTATATAGCCAGTGTTAACCTGCAGTCCTTGTGGACTATATATAGCCAGTGTTAACCTGAGGTCCTTGTGGACTATATACAGCCAGTGTTAACCTGTAGTACTTGTGGACTATATACAGCCAGTGTTAACCTGCAGTCCTTGTGGACTATATAGAGCCAGTGTTAACCTGCGGTCCTTGTTGACTATATACAGCCAGTGTTAGCCTGCAGTCCTTGTGGACTATATATAGCCAGTGTTAACCTGCAGTACTTGTGGACTATATACAGCCAGTGTTAACCTGTAGTGCTCGTGGACTATAAACAGCCTGTGTTAACCTGTAGTTCTTTTGGACTATATATAGCCTGTGTTAACCTATAGTACTTGTGGACTATATACAGCCAGTGTTAACCTGCAGTACTTGTGGACCATATACAGCCAGTGTTAACCTGCGGTCCTTGTGGACTATATACAGCCTGTGTTAACCTGTAGTCCTTGTGGACAATATATAGCCAGTGTTAACCTATAGTACTTGTGGACTATATACAGCCAGTGTTAACCTGCAGTACTTGTGGACTATATACAGCCAGTGTTAACCTGCAGTACTTGTGGACTATATACAGCCAGTGTTAACCTGGGGTCCTTGTGGACTATATACAGCCAGTGTTAACCTGCAGTACTTGTGGACACTATACAGCCAGTGGAAACCTGTAGTCCTTGTGGACTATATACGGCCAGTGTTAACCTGCTGTACTTGTGGACTATATACAGCCAGTGTTAACCTGCAGTACTTGTGGACTATATACAGCCAGTGTTAACCTGGGGTCCTTGTGGACTATATACAGCCAGTGTTAACCTGTAGTCCTTGTGGACAATATATAGCCAGTGTTAACCTATAGTACTTGTGGACTATATACAGCCAGTGTTAACCTGGGGTCCTTGTGGACTATATACAGCCTGTGTTAACCTGTAGTCCTTGTGGACTATATACAGCCAGTGTTAACCAGTAGTACTTGTGTACTATATATAGCCAGTGTTAACCTGGGGTCCTTGTGGACTATATACAGCCAGTGTTAACCTGTAGTCCTTGTGGACTATATACAGCCAGTGTTAACCTGTAGTCCTTGTGGACTATATACAGCCAGTGTTAACCTGCAGTCCTTGTTGACTATATACAGCCAGTGTTAACCTGCAGTCCTTGTGGACTATATACAGCCAGTGTTAACCTGTAGTCCTTGTGGACTATATACAGCCAGTGTTAACCTGTAGTCCTTGTGGACTATATACAGCCAGTGTTAACCTGTAGTACTTGTGGACTATATATAGCCAGTGTTAACCTGTAGTCCTTGTGGACTATATACAGCCAGTGTTAACCTGGGGTCCTTGTGGACTGTATACAGCCAGTGTTAACCTGCAGTCCTTGTGGACTATATATAGCCAGTGTTAACCTGCAGTCCTTGTGGACTATATACAGCCAGTGTTAACCTGGGGTCCTTGTGGACTGTATACAGCCAGTGTTAACCTGCAGTCCTTGTGGACTATATACAGCCAGTGTTAACCTGTAGTCCTTGTGGACTATATACAGCCAGTGTTAACCTGCAGTCCTTGTGGACTATATACAGCCAGTGTTAACCTGGGGTCCTTGTGGACTATATACAGCCAGTGTTAACCTGGGGTCCTTGTGGACTATATACAGCCAGTGTTAACCTGGGGTCCTTGTGGACTATATACAGCCAGTGTTAACCTGGGGTCCTTGTGGACTATATACAGCCAGTGTTAACCAGTAGTACTTGTGGACTGTATATAGCCAGTGTTAACCTGTAGTACTTGTGTACTATATATAGCCAGTGTTAACCTGGGGTCCTTGTGGACTATATACAGCCAGTATTAACCTGCGGTCCTTGTGGACTGTATATAGCTAGTGTTAACCTGCAGTACTTGTGGACTATATACAGCCAGTGTTAACCTGCAGTCCTTGTGGACTATATACAGCCAGTGTTAACCTGGGGTCCTTGTGGACTATATATAGCCAGTGTTAACCTGCAGTACTTGTGGACTATATACAGCCAGTGTTAACCTGCGGTCCTTGTGGACTATATACAGCCAGTGTTAACCTGGGGTCCTTGTGGACTATATACAGCCAGTGTTAACCAGTAGTACTTGTGGACTGTATATAGCCAGTGTTAACCTGTAGTACTTGTGTACTATATATAGCCAGTGTTAACCTGGGGTCCTTGTGGACTATATACAGCCAGTATTAACCTGCGGTCCTTGTGGACTGTATATAGCTAGTGTTAACCTGCAGTACTTGTGGACTATATACAGCCAGTGTTAACCTGCAGTCCTTGTGGACTATATACAGCCAGTGTTAACCTGGGGTCCTTGTGGACTATATACAGCCAGTGTTAACCTGCAGTACTTGTGGACTATATAGAGCCAGTGTTAACCTGCAGTACTTGTGGACTATATACAGCCAGTGTTAATCCATTATCTCAGATCCACACCCCATCTGGACAAACAAAACTATCAGTGTTTCCTCCCACAGTGGAGGAAGTAACTGGAGAGACAATTACAAATAATGTATACATGAGTTGTCTGCCTTGATCAATGTTGATGTGACAGTCTGTATCATGTATCATCTGTAACAGGATGAAATATATATGTAAGTATGAATATCCTGGTTTAAATTTGGGTACATTTGATAATACAACGGCAGGTTGAAGTTGAGGTCACTATGACCTTGTATAACCTCACAGCTTCATATAAGATGATGTTTGTTAATTAATGCCGCACTAATCCCTTGTATCATGAGTTCAACATGCATACAAATTGTTTGTTTGTTTGCTTAATGCCACACTCGGCAATATTCCAGCTATACAACGAAGGTCTGTAAATAGTCGAGTCTGGACCAGACAATCCATTGATTGACATCATGAGCATAGATCCACTCAAATGCTTTTTGTAAAAGGCGACTAAATGGGATGGGGTGGTCAGGCTCACTGACTTGGTTGATGCATGTCATCGATCCCAATTGCGTAGATCGATGCTCATGCTGTCAATCATGACACAAGGGAACAGTAAAATAAAATATTTGTATTTTCTTGTCAGATAATATGTTAATCTCATCAAATGACCTTACAAAACTGATATTTTCATGATTTGCATTTGTCAAAATATCATCTTTGTCAGGTGACTAGATCAGGTCATTCACTCACTCTGTGAGTTGGCTCTTGTGCCACTTATAGCAATATTTCAGCAATATCACCGTGGGCAACACAAGAAATTGATTTCACACATTGTACACACATGGGAACTCAGCGTTCTGAGTCATAATCGGACGCTTTTATCACCAGGCCACTGCACTGGATGAGATAAACATGTTATTTATTATAAACAATAATCTTCTATGCATTGTTTTTTACTTATTGATCTTCAGAATTTTTCCATGAAAACTGTTGTTTCACTGAGCCAAAATAGAATATTTCGTTCACTTTGAGTAAGTGATATACTGTAAACAGGGAATTTTTTGCGACCGTTTTATTATTGGGAGTTTTGTGATCGAGACTCAATCGCAAAAATTTAAAACGCAAAAATAAGTATAAATAATACATACATACTTTATTCATTGCAACACGTCATCAAATGTTGAAATCATCAACCAGAATCACAAGTTACTCAATAAGTTAAAAACACAAATGAATGCAGAACGGTTACACAATACATCACAAATGACAGTGTAAACAGACAAATTAGTGTCACTGTTACCTCACAGTAATCCTGCCTTCTTCCAACCTCACTTGATTGCGTCAGTGTCCTTTGCAATTTCATTTAAATCCTTCTTATATATTTTGCATTCAAACTCACAGTCATGACACTGAGTTGAGTCAATTATTAACTTTCCGGCCAACTCAGATTAACTAGCTTCGAAGAGAAGCTGTCTATTGTTTGGTAATCTAGGGGTCATCTCAACACGGCAACTCGCAAAAATATCTCGTCGCAGTATTGTCTTTGGTGTGGTATTCGCAATATTTTAACAGCGCAGAAATAAAGCTGATTAGAAGCAATACTAAACCCACAAAATAAACTAGAAAACTTCAAGGCCTTAGGCGTAGTCTTAATCAAAACGGAACTAATAAAAACACAAAAACCTACCAAATCAAAATCACAGAAACAAACAAACATCCACCATACCCAGCTCCCTTAGTTCTCCCCAACCCCATCGGCATCTATTCCAAATCTCAAAATTCCCAAATTCTATATAAGCAACCCCTAAAGCCCCCTCTTGGGTTGCACAGACCACTTTCGCCCCACACATTAAATGGCCTGGCCGGGTCCATGTGCGAAATACGCATCAGTTGGAAAGCGCACGTTAAATATCCAAAGTAAGTAAAGCTGCTTACAGTATTCCACAGGACTATGATACACGTATCAAATTTATATGTTCAGCCGAGCCGAGATGAAACAGGATACATACAACATTAACAGCATTAAAAGGTCACATGAAATAAATGCTGCAGGTATTGGGTCAAAAGCTAGGATTTAACACTTGTTTGAAAGTGATATGTAAACGGCAACAAAAGGTCTTGAATCATTTAGATATAATTTCGGAATGAGATATATTTGTGCAGGTGGTAAAACAGAATAACAAGAGGTGGATTGTGTAAAATTTGTGAGATATATTTGTGCAGGTGGTAAAACAGAATAACAAGAGGTGGATTGTGTAAAATATGTGAGATATATTTGTGCAGGTGGTAAAACAGAATAACAAGAGGTGGATTGTGTAAAATATGTGAGATATATTTGTGCAGGTGGTAAAACAGAATAACAAGAGGTGGATTGTGTAAAATATGTGAGATATATTTGTGCAGGTGGTAAAACAGAATAACAAGAGGTGGATTGTGTAAAATTTGTGAGATATATTTGTGCAGGTGGTAAAACAGAATAACAAGAGGTGGATTGTGTAAAATTTGTGAGGCTAAATTCACCAGAAATATATGATTGGTTGTTTGGTTTGTTGTTTAACGCCGCACTCAGCAATATTCCAGCTATATGACGGCGGTGTGTAAATAATCGAGTCTGGACCAGACAATCCAGTGATTGATATCATGAGCATCGATCTACGCAAATAGGATCGATGACATGTATCAACCAAGTCAGCGAGCCTGACCGACTGATCCCGTTAGTCGACTTTTACGGCAAGCATGGGTTGCTGAAGACAGAAATATATGAAATATGATGATTTGAAGCTGTAGAAAATTGTCATCTTATTGACTTGAATAATATAGCTACAGCTTGTTTGTAGGTTTCCTGGTTGTCAAACAATAGACTGCTAAGCTGTAAACCATGTCATATACCAAACTATCTTTGTTGTTAAAGTACTCACGGAAATGAAAACAAACTGTTTTTTCGACCTCAGATCTTAGATAAATGCAGTTAATATACAAAATATGTAAATATTCAAACAACTTAATTAGTACTAATTGGGCCGTGGCACAAATACAGCGTATCAAATGTTTTTATGCCTTTTTACAGGTAAAAGTGTGTAAAAATGTGAATAAAACAGACTATTGTGAAACAGGGCATAACCAGGTGTAAGTAGATCAAGGTGACCTATGACACCTTGACGACAGGTGAGAACAGGTGCATAATACCTATAGTCTGTTTCTGCTATGTCAATTTGGACTTAGTTTTATTTTTGAATGTTGAAAGTGCCGACAAATTACCTCCTGTAAAGTACATTTTGTATTGTTCACTGAGATCAAACTAGCAAATCCAGACTAGTACATTCCGAGTTGTTTTGTTATTTCGTATTTACAGCTACGTAACACTTTGTGTCGATTTTTAAATTAAGAAAACATTTTTTTTTTCATTTCTGTGACTACTTTAGGTGTCATTTTGAAGCCTGGAGTCTGGACCTCCTGAACAACTACCCGACTGAACCTAGGAAGACGAGGCAGGCTTTGACTGTGTCATGTCATAGGATGAATTCACACAAGGCAGGTAGGGAAACTTGTTTACTCCAGGGCCTTAGATTTTACAACCTCTGCCATCTGCTTCAGGTTTTGGTTTGGTTTGTTGTTTTACGCCGCACTCAGCAATATTCCAGCTATATTGCATCGGTCTGTAAATAATCGAGTCTTGACCAGACAACCCAGTCATTGATATCATGAGCATCTATTCACGCAGTTGGTTGTTTGGTTGGTTGGTTTGTTATTTAACCACGCACTCAGCAATATTCCAGCTATATGACGGCGGTCTGTAAATAATCGAGTCTGGACCAGACAATCCAGTGATTAATATCATGAGCATCGATCCACGCAATTTGGATCGATGACATGCATCAACCGTTAGTCGCCTTTTACGACAAGCATAGTCACCTTTTACAGCAAGCATGGGTTGCTGAAGAGCTATTCTACCCCGGAATCTTCTGGGGTCCCACGCAACTGGGATCGATGACATGCATCAACCAACTCAGCTAGCCCGACCACATGATCCCGTTAGATGCCTCTTACAACAAGCATGGTCGCCTTTTACGGCAAGCATGGGTTGCTGAAGACCTATTCTACCCTAGATTTACATCTGCTTTAGGCCACCAGGCATATTACCTGGGATATCTTTGGTTATGCAGGACAACTCTCCATTCCTTAAAAATACTGGAGTCGAGGCCTCCGAGGCTCATTATTTTAAAGGAATGGAGAGTTACGAGTGAGTGAGTGAGAGAGTTGGGTTTTACACCACTCATAGCAATGTTCCAGCAATATCATGGCAGGGGACACCAGAAATTGGGCTTCACACGTTGTACCCATGTGGGGAATCGAACCCGTGTTTTCGGAGTGACAAGCGAACGCTTCAACAACTAGGCTACCCCCCCGCCCCTGGAGAGTTACGTGGATATGCCCCAACTTAATACACATCTCTACTCCTACACTTTGACATTGTGAAGAGCCATAAAACATGCATTGGAAACATCAGCTCGGGATAGAGGACGTGCAACAGCAGCAGAGAACACAATCAACTCTCCATTCCTGAAAAATAATGGCGCGCTCAAAAAATAAAATGATGTCACAGATGTGTTTTAATAATATTGAATACCGTATTCGACGTAATAAGCGCCCCGCTCTAATAAGCGCCCACGGTGATATTTGCTAATATATTGGCAAGTGAACAATCCCAATTAGCACCCCTTCCGATTGATCAATGTACACAAGACCTATTTATTCGCGTATAATACGCAATCGTGTGTTATATGCACTCTTAATTATGGGCAATTAAATTCTGGAAAAATATATCCGTCGTATATAAACAGTCAGGCCGTCAGCATAAACCACGAAATTTATCTTACAACTCTGTTTTTTCCACCAAAATAATATTCTAATAAGAGCCCCCTATTTCTAATTTTGAGAGCGCCCTGTGCGCTTATTATGTCGAATACGGTATATATTATGAACATCATGTAAGGGAACCCCTGTCATTTCACCTGTAAGAATGAAATGGCCATCTTTGTTGCACGAGATGCAGTTACTGAATGCGAATAGCACAACTGCTCAACATTGCACATTGCACAGATAAACCATGGGACACATCCTGGTTACTTGCATGAGCCAATAAACGTCACAACCACATGGTTCATTGATCAGGTACGAAGTAAGAAAATGCCTCCAAAAGTGTACATGACAGAAAATGAAAAGTTGCGCGCAACAGGCATGATCAATACTGGCCAATCGCAGGATGCACTAAATCTAAAAATACAAGGGAATGCATCTGACTGTGGCACTCAGACGCCTCAGACAACAGTACACACAGTTTGGAGGTCGTCAACGGCGGCATTGGAGAAACTGATGAATTGATTATGGCTGCACTTTACAGATGGTAGACAACACGTTTGGAGAGGGCATGGAGAGAGGTATGATCCGGAAGCAGACCAACAGCTCGATAGGTACGGTGGTGGCGGCGTCATGGTCTCAGCTGGCATCACATACGACAACTGGACGGATTTGATGATCGTGTAAAGCAACAAGACCGGGCAATGTAATGTGGACGTAATGTTACATCCAGTGGTAATCCCAGTGTGAAGGTCAGAACTAGGAGTTTCCAGGATGACAATGCATGTCTTCACAGAACCTGTGTTGCAGTTGACTGTCTGAGACAGCACAGTGTCACAACATTGGCCTGGCCAGCCGCGACTTTGTAGTTAGGCTCTTTGTGGTTAATTATTCAGCCAACTGGCATAAAATATGCAAAAAGTTTACAAGCTGTCTAGCTTGACAACAGTACAAGGATCTATACCAAGGCATTGCTATAATAGTATATTATTGAAGTTGTTATCCATAAATTATGTCTCCTTTGTCATCCATCAACTTCTACAGGGTTAGAACTAAACTAAAAAGCTTTACTAGCCCGGGTAAAGAGAAATGCCCTTGTAATGTTAAAACGCAGGGGAAATGTGGACATTTTTACTCACCCGCATAAGTTTATACTAGCCCCGGGCTAGCGGGCTAGTGTTAAGTTCTAACCCTGTTCTAATAAATAATAGCAACAAAACCCTTTCCCTATTCACAAGAAATCTCTATCTATGTCGGCCAACATATAGTCAATGAAATCTATTATTACACAATGCATTTCTCTCCTCTAAAACTAAAACAAATAATTTTCCTGAATCATTTTTCTGATGCTGTGGAATAGAGGTGGCTAGATATTGCTAGAGCTGGCTAGCCTTGCTTTTATATATATCTACAGGTTTTGTTTCAATAAAATAGTTATATTCCACAGTCATGGTACAGGACTACACTGCTGACTCCTCTCTCAGTTAAACTAAACTTGTGTATATAATGTTTCAGTGACTTCTCATTATGAAGAACATGTGCAAGGCCTGCGGATCATGCAAGGCGTGAGCAGACCACCTGTCTGACACACCTGCGGATCCTGCAAGGCGTGAGCAGACCACCTGTGTGACACACCTGCGGATCCTGCAAGGCGTGAGCAGACCAAATGTGTGACACACCTGCGGATCCTGCAAGGCGTGAGCAGACCACCTGTGACACACCTGCAGATCCTGCAAGGCGTGAGCAGACCACCTGTGTGACACACCTGCGGATCCTGCAAGGCGTGAGCAGACCACCTGTGTGACACACCTGCGGATCCTGCAAGGCGTGAGCAGACCACCTGTGACACACCTGCAGATCCTGCAAGGCGTGAGCAGACCACCTGTGTGACACACCTGCGGATCCTGCAAGGCGTGAGCAGTCCACCTGTGTGACACACCTGCAGATCCTGCAAGGCGTGAGCAGTCCACCTGTGTGACACACCTGCGGATCCTGCAAGGCGTGAGCAGTCCACCTGTGTGACACACCTGCGGATCCTGCAAGGCGTGAGCAGACCACCTGTGTGACACACCTGCAGATCCTGCAAGGCGTGAGCAGACCACCTGTGTGACACACCAGCGGATCCTGCAAGGCGTGAGCAGACCACCTGTGTGACACACCTGCGGATCCTGCAAGGCCTGAGCAGACCACCTGTGTGACACACCTGCGGATCCTGCAAGGCCTGAGCAGACCACCTGTGTGACACACCTGCGGATCCTGCAAGGCGTGAGCAGACCACTTGTGTGACACACCTGCGGATCCTGCAAGGCGTGAGGAGACCACCTGTGTGACACACCTGCGGATCCTGCAAGGCGTGAGCAGACCACCTGTGTGACACACCTGCGGATCCTGCAAGGCGTGAGCAGACCACCTGTGTGACACACCTGCGGATCCTGCAAGGCGTGAGCAGGCCACCTGTGTGACACACCTGCGGATCCTGCAAGGCCTGAGCAGGCCACCTGTGTGACACACCTGCGGATCCTGCAAGGCGTGAAAAGACCACCTGTGTGACACGCCTGCGGATCCTGCAAGGCCTGAGCAGGCCACCTGTGTGACACGCCTGCGGATCCTGCAAGGCGTGAGCAGACCACCTGTGTGACACACCTGCGGATCCTGCAAGGCGTGAGGAGACCACCTGTGTGACACACCTGCGGATCCTGCAAAGCGTGAGCAGACCACCTGTGTGACACACCTGCGGATCCTGCAAAGCGTGAGCAGACCACCTGTGTGACACACCTGCGGATCCTGCAAGGCGTGAGCAGACCACCTGTGTGACACACCTGCGGATCCTGCAAGGCGTTAGCAGGCCACCTGTGTGACACACCTGCGGATCCTGCAAGGCCTGAGCAGGCCACCTGTGTGACACACCTGCGGATCCTGCAAGGCGTGAGCAGACCACCTGTGTGACACACCTGCAGATCCTGCAAGGCCTGAGCAGGCCACCTGTGTGACACACATGCGGATCCTGTAAGGTGTGAGCAGGCCACCTGTGTGACACGCCTGTGGATCCTGCAAGGCGTGAGCAGACCACCTGTGTGACACACCTGCGGATCCTGCAAGGCGTGAGGAGACCACCTGTGTGACACACCTGCCGATCCTGCAAGGCGTGAGCAGACCCCCTGTGTGACACGCCTGCGGATCCTGCAAGGCGTGAGCAGGCCACCTGTGTGACACGCCTGCGGATCCTGCAAGGCGTGAGCAGGCCACCTGTGTGACACGCCTGCGGATCCTGCAAGGCGTGAGCAGACCACCTGTGTGACACACCTGCGGATCCTGCAAGGCCTGAGCAGACCACCAGTGGGACACACCTGCGGATCCTGCAAGGCGTGAGCAGACCACCTGTGGGACACACCTGCGGATCCTGCAAGGCGTGAGCAGACCACCTGTGTGACACACCAGCGGATCCTGCAAGGCGTGAGCAGACCACCTGTGTGACACACCTGCCGATACTGCAAGGCGTGAGCAGACCCCCTGTGTGACACACCTGCGGATCCTGCAAGGCCTGAGCAGACCACCAGTTGGACACACCTGCGGATCCTGCAAGGCGTGAGCAGGCCACCTGTGTGACACACCTGCGGATCCTGCAAGGCCTGAGCAGGCCACCTGTGTGACACACCTGCGGATCCTGCAAGGCGTGAAAAGACCACCTGTGTGACACGCCTGCGGATCCTGCAAGGCCTGAGCAGGCCACCTGTGTGACACGCCTGCGGATCCTGCAAGGCGTGAGCAGACCACCTGTGTGACACACCTGCGGATCCTGCAAGGCGTGAGGAGACCACCTGTGTGACACACCTGCGGATCCTGCAAGGCGTGAGCAGACCACCTGTGTGACACACCTGCGGATCCTGCAAGGCGTGAGCAGACCACCTGTGTGACACACCTGCGGATCCTGCAAGGCGTGAGCAGACCACCTGTGTGACACACCTGCGGATCCTGCAAGGCCTGAGCAGGCCACCTGTGTGACACACCTGCGGATCCTGCAAGGCCTGAGCAGGCCACCTGTGTGACACACCTGCGGATCCTGCAAGGCGTGAGCAGACCACCTGTGTGACACACCTGCAGATCCTGCAAGGCCTGAGCAGGCCACCTGTGTGACACACCTGCAGATCCTGCAAGGCGTGAGCAGGCCACCTGTGTGACACGCCTGTGGATCCTGCAAGGCGTGAGCAGACCACCTGTGTGACACACCTGCGGATCCTGCAAGGCGTGAGGAGACCACCTGTGTGACACACCTGCCGATCCTGCAAGGCGTGAGCAGACCCCCTGTGTGACACACCTGCGGATCCTGCAAGGCCTGAGCAGACCACCAGTGGGACACACCTGCGGATCCTGCAAGGCGTGAGCAGACCACCTGTGGGACACACCTGCGGATCCTGCAAGGCGTGAGCAGACCACCTGTGTGACACACCTGCGGATCCTGCAAGGCGTGAGCAGACCACCTGTGTGACACACCTGCGGATCCTGCAAGGCCTGAGCAGACCACCAGTGGGACACACCTGCGGATCCTGCAAGGCGTGAGCAGACCACCTGTGTGACACACCAGCGGATCCTGCAAGGCGTGAGCAGACCACCTGTGTGACACACCTGCGGATCCTGCAAGGCCTGAGCAGACCACCTGTGTGACACACCTGCGGATCCTGCAAGGCCTGAGCAGACCACCTGTGTGACACACCTGCGGATCCTGCAAGGCGTGAGGAGACCACCTGTGTGACACACCTGCGGATCCTGCAAGGCGTGAGCAGACCACCTGTGTGACACACCTGCGGATCCTGCAAGGCGTGAGCAGACCACCTGTGTGACACACCTGCGGATCCTGCAAGGCGTGAGCAGACCACCTGTGTGACATACCTGCGGATCCTGCAAGGCGTGAGCAGGCCACCTGTGTGACACACCTGCGGATCCTGCAAGGCCTGAGCAGGCCACCTGTGTGACACGCCTGCGGATCCTGCAAGGCGTGAGCAGGCCACCTGTGTGACACGCCTGCGGATCCTGCAAGGCGTGAGCAGGCCACCTGTGTGACACGCCTGCGGATCCTGCAAGGCGTGAGCAGACCACCTGTGTGACACACCTGCGGATCCTGCAAGGCGTGAGCAGACCACCTGTGTGACACACCTGCGGATCCTGCAAGGCGTGAGGAGACCACCTGTGTGACACACCTGCCGATCCTGCAAGGCGTGAGCAGACCCCCTGTGTGACACACCTGCGGATCCTGCAAGGCCTGAGCAGACCACCAGTGGGACACACCTGCGGATCCTGCAAGGCGTGAGCAGACCACCTGTGGGACACACCTGCGGATCCTGCAAGGCGTGAGCAGACCACCTGTGTGACACACCTGCGGATCCTGCAAGGCGTGAGCAGACCACCTGTGTGACACACCTGCCGATCCTGCAAGGCGTGAGCAGACCACCTGTGTGACACACCTGCAGATCCTGCAAGGCCTGAGCAGGCCACCTGTGTGACACACCTGCGGATCCTGCAAGGTGTGAGCAGGCCACCTGTGTGACACGCCTGTGGATCCTGCAAGGCGTGAGCAGACCACCTGTGTGACACACCTGCGGATCCTGCAAGGCGTGAGGAGACCACCTGTGTGACACACCTGCCGATCCTGCAAGGCGTGAGCAGACCCCCTGTGTGACACACCTGCGGATCCTGCAAGGCCTGAGCAGACCACCAGTGGGACACACCTGCGGATCCTGCAAGGCGTGAGCAGACCACCTGTGGGACACACCTGCGGATCCTGCAAGGCGTGAGCAGACCACCTGTGTGACACACCTGCGGATCCTGCAAGGCGTGAGCAGACCACCTGCTCCACCAGGTAAATATCACTGATGGCATGGGTACAACAAGTCTCTAGGGCTAGTAGCTTTCTCAACTCTTCTAACGAATGTCTCTTAAGGTTACACACAACCAAATGTTTTCCCATAGACTTATGTAGAAACGTTATAATTTTTTTTAAAATAACTAAGCATTCAACAGCTATTACCTGTACGTGTGTGCACAGTTTGGCCTTAGAGCAGCAATAAAAAAATTTAAAATGACTAGCTTAGCCAGCTCCTTTTCCGAGTACAGGAAGCTAAACACACTTACCCCAGTTTCGCACCAAGTGTCACCTTCTTGAAAATAGCTGTGGTCACATTCAGCATAAGTCATCATGTTGAAAAAGACAGTACTAAATATAGAAAAACATGGTCAGTTTTAATAACTGGATGGATGTACATTTGAAAGACATAAAAATTTTACAGAATATCCTCCAATCACAGCCTGCAGATATCTCTCGATCTGCACTGAAGGCTCCCTACGAAAACCGCACTGTCCAAACTGGTTCTGATTTGGTGTAGTAGAACCTTAAGGGAATCCAGTGTAATCAGAAGAGAGGTAATATTTTAGTTGAGTTTTCAAATGAGCATGTAT